TTGTACTTGAATACAACTGGGTCTTCTGCTATAATCTGTTGATTGACTGGCCAGAAAACAGCTTTTCATTCAAATTCCCAAGATGCTACTTCCATCAGTTCTATGGATTTTGCCACATCTCTGAGACTTCTGTGCCCACTGAATAATAGTCTAGCTCCTTCTGAACCTTTTAGTTTTACTCTAGACTTCTGTGTCCACTGGACTCTAATACTCTAATCTTTTCTGAGCCTTCAAGCTCATCTTCAGGACTTCCACTCTCACTGGATATCAATTCAGCTTCATCTGAACTTCCTACTTCAACTCCAGGACTTCTATATCCATCAGACTCTGATAGTCCATCTCCTGGAGCTTCATTTTATTTCACATTCCATCTTGGTCACCAGCAGGTTCTGTTTCCATATAAGCCCATCTATTCCTATCCTCTCTGAGAATCTTTTACTATGAAAGTACACCCAAAGATGTTCATCATATCTGCTGCCACATTTGTCCAACTCTGTGCAGAGGATGATGCTCAGCAGTTTACACTACCAGCAGATCTTTCATCAGTGCCAGTAGAGTATCATGGTTTTGCAGATGTCTTCAGCAATACAGTCTCTGAGAATCCCCTTGAGTATAGATCATATGACCTCAATTTTAATTTTGAGGAAGTGTCATGATTTTACCCCTAATTACAACCTTCTGACACTTAATAAGCCCATGCTTATAAAAACCCAATAAATACCAACCAGGAGTCAGCCTCAGCCATGAAGAAACAAAGAGGAACTATGGATGATGATGCTATGATGACATAATAGCCACTCTCTATCCAGTGGCATATAAAAGACAGGAGGAAGCAGGATAATAGCAGTTGCTATTCTATGCACTCAATATAATAAAGAACTGTGACACCTGGGGAACTTGCCATAGCAATGAGTCAAAGAGTGGAAAATGACATATCAAAACATGGCACAGTCATTGTCATTAAAATAATGGGAAAAAGGAATGGCAACAGGACAAAGACCATGAAGGAGACAAAAGGCATTGAACAGTATTTAAGATAGTGTTATGATTTTTCTCTTTTTCCCATTTTTTTCCCAGAATTAACTCCTATTTGTACTTAGTCAGAGTGGCTAGATCAGCACTTAAGACCATGGGACTGGCTTAGTCATCACAACAAGCCCAGTCAGTCATTGTCTTTCAACACAACAGCATTGCCTGACAATGCTCAATGATACTATTGTAGACAGTAACAACACTCAAGGACAACAAGCATAATAGCCAGCACAGACATAATAAGTAGGAATATTTATAGTAGCACCATGATATGTATATAAATAGGACAGCTTTCACTGGTATAACTCCAGCTTCAAGCTAAAGTTTATTCATACTCATTCTACTCTTGAGCTATTCTCTTATATCTTGAAGCACTTCAATCATAGAAGCACATCAAGTGGACTCTAGCAGAAGGCTCAAATGTAAAGTCATGCCAGTTTATCACATGTTCCAGATCATGTGTGGCTTGAGCCTAACAGATAGTAGAATACAACTATGTACCCCAGTCTCAAGCTAAGGTTTAATACATCTACTAAACTCTCTGACCACCTGATGTGAATACTCTTGCTCACAATGACAGACTATGTCTATCAGCCCTGTCCCTTCATTTCTTCCACCAAAGTCCTTATTGCTTATCTCATCATTCTTATCATACTTCTATATTGACAACAACTCCAGAATCAGAACTAGAACCCAGAATCAGACTCTGGTGGAAACAGTGCCAGACAGTTGTAGAGTGTTTGGTAGTTGCCTAACAGAAAGGCACTTCTCTGCTGCTTAGTTCCATCTACTCCCTCTCAGAATCTGAACTCAAGGCCTTATATGAGTTTATTGATGATAGTCTTTGCAATAATTTTATTACTCTCTCCTGTTCTCCATATAGAGCTCCAGTATTCTTTGTCAAGAAAAATACTGGTGAAATCTGACTGTGCATTGACTACTGTGGCCTTAACAAAATCTCTAAGGAGAATCTCTATTCTCTTTCCCTCATTTCTGATCTCCTCAACTACACTTGCTCTATGTGCATCTACACCAAACTTGATCTTTGATATGCTTACTGTCTCATTTGCACAGCTGAAGGTGATGAATGAAGAACAGCCTTCCAAATCTGCTGCAGCTTCTTCAAATAATGTGTCATGCCCTTTAAATGGGCTGAATGAGCAAACTGGACACATCAAAGTCAATCTCTTCACATTACAAGAATCCAAGATCATCAATATAATTACAATGCATGGACATCTGGCATGTATCAACTGAACTGACTTTTAGGTGATATTAAAAAGAAATTATCCATAGAATATAAAAATGATTGTATATGCTGGAATTTATACCATGGAGCAGTGGACCATGTTGTGAAGAAACATAATTCTCCAAGCAACAGACCTGAAACCTTGTCTCTCAATTCATTGTCAAGAGATAGTGCAGGAAGAATATTTGAAGATGTTGGAGTTTTTATTATTCTAATATACAGATATACAATCTAAAATCATAGGTGAGTCAGAGAATCTGTCATTTGCTGAAGGATATCATCATATCTGAGTTAATCTGCTGAGCTTATATAGGCTCAATAAAATATAAAAAGAAGAATTACATATTTTCTGTATTAAATAAAAGACAGTTAAGATATAGAGGCAATTCAGTGGGCAGAAGGGATGGAAAAAGACAAGGAGAAGAAAGAATGATCAGGTGATTGAAATATTGCACTAATGGAGGATCTCATGCACATCTTATATAACAACTTTGTTGCTCTGCACCTTCTTTTTGTCAACTTTTTAGTTTCTATTAGATGCTAAATTTTCATTTCTGTTATGCTCATTGAATATCTACATCATTTACTACTGTGTGAAAGCTGCAGACTGTTACTAGAAAGGAAGATAGTCTAGAAATTTTTGTTTTTTTTTGGTGGGGGCTATCAGAGAGGTGGTCCAGCAACATAGTTGCTTCCAACATGCAGCCAAATTTTTTACCAGAGATTAAAAGCAAGCATGTATAGTTAGTACCATGAATATATATATATTTGTTTCATCATGAGGAAATGCTTTATGAACTGAATAGTGTGGGACTCAAGATTAGTAACTCCATCAGGAAAATTTCTACTACCCTTCACACTGTCTCCATACTTACATGTTCTGGCTATTAATGTTACCCTATACTCACTAAGACCCCATCAGCTTCTGTCTAGTCACTAGAAAGCTGATGCTCATTAAGGATTGAGCCTGCCCAGATTCTTTTCTGAGCACCTTTTTGCCAAAATGTTCTTGTGTCATCAGACAGTCTAACTCCAATCTTCAGTTTATCTTCTTTTTCCATCAGTTTCTTATCTCCACTGGGGTGAAAGGGGTGTTTTATCATTGGATAACTGTCACATCAGGTATTCCATATAGTTTGCACAGGTGAGAAGACAACAATTCTAAAAAAAAACATACTTTTTCACTCTTTTTGTGGCCACTTTGTGACTTGAAGGCTAGGGAGGTGCATGCTAAGATATTCAACATTTTTGGGCCATGCCATATTATATCATATTTTTCTAGGATATATTTGGTGAGTTCCAGGTAGCCTATAAACTACATATTAATGGAGGCACTATACTGATACTGCAGCATGGGCCTTGATGCATTGCCATCTGATTCTCTCTGCAGCACCATTGTGAATCCTTGTCATGGGTGGTTTCATTTTCTTTGTTTGATGGTATTTTCTGAGCTCTTGCAGAATGGACATGACCAGCAGCACAGACATGACTGACAGCAACTGACAAGATTTTGCTCAGCTGTTGAGGTGAGAAGATTCATGCAGTCTATTGTTTTGTTTACATTGATGTGTCTTGCAGCTTTGACCATCTAATCTCCAAATGTAGGAGGTAGAGATTTCCTGCAGGCACTGAATTGCACTCCTCATCATTATCTCACTAAAAGTCTTAAATTTCATTCATCCTCAGATTTGAGGAGAGTTTTGAGCTCGATGAAGACATAGGTGTAACCAATAGCAAGCAGTTGAACTTACATGAAGAAGGTCCAGAATTGAAAGACAACGAGACAAGGCGAGCTCTATTTTATGTTCCTCTTTTTATAGGCCTGATATAATACCAAAGATAGTCTCAGTTCCATCGATGAAGCCATTTAATTGTCCAGCAGGCTTCATTTGTCAGCTCATGGAAACGATTCCGGTGGCTACTCATACTAAAACAGTACTGAAGGCACCAAAACATTTTGGAATATGAATGATGATCAGTGCTGGTATTTCCCACAATCGACGCATTATCTAACACCTGGGCCCTCCGCACTGTATCCAACACCTCCGGCATCTATATCTCCCTCCTCAATGACTCGCCACGTCATTTTTTCTTCTTCAATATGGAGGACAGCCGTACCCGATTCAGTATGTGCCACAGAAGTTCATGGTCTCGTATCCTCCACCGGGCCCTACGACCCACGAGTCGGCAGCTTTTGCTCAGAACCCACACCGCACTCTGATGTACCCGCCATACGAACATGATTACGCACCACAGCCACCGACTTGGAGGTCCCCGGTCATCGATAAAGAGAAGCTATGAGAGTAGGTCATATATGTTGTGCTATCCGTCCTTTCTGATTGTGTCAGACTGGAAAGTGGAAAAGCTTTCACGATGTATTACTTATTTTAGTTTTCGCCTAATCATTGAGTCAGTTACCGCCGCCATCCATATCAACTCCGGACCACTAAGTCAGTATGGAATAGGGAAGAAGCCAAAGACAATTGCGTCGTTCCGTTCATTCTCCTCTCTAAGATTCTGGGCCGTCCTTCACTTATGTACAGGTTCCAATACCTCCTTCCTTGGCCCATAATTGTATCCTCTTTCGCATCTCCATTTCATGACACAGCCTGATGTATCCCGCAGTGCCGACGGAACTCACTGTTACTGACCCCTGAATCACAAAAGAATCGCACAAGTTGCCGCTCCCCGCTATACAACCCCGTTTGATTTCGCTACAATGTTCTATGGGATGGAGCGCGTCCCCCCACATCCGAACACACATCATCCATGTCCCGTTACGAACTGCTCGGCATTTATGTTGGTGGATGAATTCCCCGCGCACTACGAAGCGTTCCATTTCCTCATGAATTGTCACCAAACATTGTGTGCTAAGTGATTCATGATTCATTTATCATAAGATATGGAATATACCGTCGTCATTCACGAGGGAAAGAAGCCATCGTCAGTGATCGCCATCGTAGTTCCGCTTAACGTCCAAAAGTCCCAAAATGTAAATGAACGCCTTCGCGATCCTGTGGCCACGTTATACTTTCTGTCACCGCCGTGGTACACTGTATGAAGCCCCGATTCAGTGCTTGTCACTATAATTTTACGGGTGGCCCTGAAAGGTGATGACAAAAAAGGAGTCAAGGTTTCCCATACACATCTATTTCGCCTTTAAGATGCTGAGTTTGCGTTTGTTATTGCTCTGATCGAGTGCACCGTATTCGCCGGCCTGTATAAATTAAGAGTCCCACATTGATTCTGAACACTAAAAAGTCTGCTACAACACGTCCCGACGATCCCGCTCTCGAACCGCCTTTTTCAAATCTGAACATTACGGACGCCATCGTTCACCTCATCTGCTATACCACCGGACTACCGCATATCAGGAAATTATGTCTTTCCGATTCCTCTGCCACGGCTGCGAAAAAATGGACGCCGCCGGCGAACGCGTCGTTGTATGTCAGTGTGGTGAATTCTGGTGCTCCTCGCTATGCCTAGAAGTGGTACGTGGCATCCAATATTTTCCTACCAATGAACAACTGAAAATCGTGAGTCCAGTTCTTTCAAAGCCATTTCATTGATGCCCCACATCTACAACACGGATTTTTTGATCATTTTCCAAGACTCGATCGGGAAATAGTATCTCAGGGTCCATGGTACGAAAGTATTCGAGGTCTCATATTTCCCCAAGACGGTGCGTCTTCACCTCTTTCATCATATTTTCAAGCTCAAAATAAACGCGTTAGGCTCTGCTCCTATTGAAGTTCCTCTCACGTTCGTATTCCGACACGGCGAGATACTGGACTGTATACCGCAGCTGAACGACTTCTTTCCTCCAGACGAGCATGCCTGTCGAAGGGTCGGTGGACAAAGGGGCGACCCGCCTTTTGAGATTTGGTACTACAAGAATCAAATGCAGCTTTTCTTCGAAGATCCCAATTCTGTGAACGACACGATTATCAGCCTCACCGGTTCTCGTGAGGTACAGAAAATATGGTACGGCCCAGTCATCGCTGTAATACTCCAGAGAGACATCAATCAGTTGAAGTACACAAATGTACAATACCATCACTTAGATGTTTTTGGAAGATTTTTCAGGAGTTATACGTGTCCCTGTGTCGTTTATTGAGTCGGACATTAATCAGACCATTTACCATACAGTAGCTAGTTCCTATATATATCTTATGTACCCATTCGTTCGGAGTAACCATTCAAAGCAGGGGTTTTTCATGCATTCTTGTATGCCGCCAATCTGATTGTGGTTGAAAATGAATGGCAAATATCTGCCCTATGACATTGTGCGTCGTGGACGATATTCCTTTACATCATCCTATATTCTCCCTCGCTCCCAGCGCAATCGTCTACATGTTAGACAGCTTCTCACTCTGGAGAAGATTCAGACATAGAAGACTCGACTGCCACACAGACTAAAATCAGCTCGCCACAGTTCAGAACGCGTGGTACTGCGAGAAATCTTTACACGAGCGAGACTCGTTCAATTTTGCTTTCCGCCATGGAGGTCAGTTGCGAACTTCGACTATTTGGCTAATTCTATACACATTACAAGCTCGTCATTGACGTTGCACCGGAATGTACGCCCAGAAAATACACTCGCCGCACCCAGCATTGAAAGTCTGCAGCACATTGTTTATACCGACTGCGCTAAATCTAACATATGATTTACTATTGTAATGATGGAGGAATTGAGGCACGACGAGCTTGATATTGTGACTGGGTATGGATGTCCTTCTGTTGTCAAAGGCGTCGGGAATTATATATCGTTGACTTCACAAGCGAGGATCGGATGAAAGATGTGATCTGAAAACGGCCCTGAAATATCATTTCTGATATTGTAAGGAGCACGTTGGGCATTCGCTCTTTCGTCTTTTCGAACAATGAACATAAGTAAAAGCCATCTTCATCATGTATAATGAGGAAGGCAATGATTAGATGTCCGAGCTTCTGACTTCAGCCTTCCACTCTGACAAATAACTCATTCTGCTCCGAGTAGACATGAATCGAAAAAGGGAACAGTCCAATGCAGTGATTTGATCCCTTTTCATCAAACATATAACAGTGGTTATTTAGCATATATGTGAATAAGTTGTGAGCCCAGAATGTAAAGAAAGCGAGCATAGTTTAAAAGATCTTAGACAACTTTAAGAATTGGGGCATGCCATTTCAATTCTCATTTTCAAGTGAACTACACAGCGGCAGCAAAATTTATAACACAGGTAAGAATGAGAATCTCCTTAGGACACTGCTTGCTACGCCTATTTCGTTTTCGCCTATCGCCCTCCTCTCCATTCTCTCCGTCGTCTACAGCAGCTGGCTCGTTGCCATCTTCATGTAGAGCATCACCCTTTGTTCCCTTACCCGTCCTGGGGAGATGCCCCATGTGCTTCCACTATGGAAACACTGCGTTTCTATGCCCCAGTTTGCAAGCTTACCGTTCAGGATATAAGCGATTCTTGGGGGAAGGAGAAGATGCTGATAACCCTACCTAGTGTTGTACATCATCCAACTTCATCATAGTCAGGGTCCAAGTCATCAACTTGTAATACAGCTCTGCAGAGAGCGAAAAATGACATACCCATCGACCAGTGCCAAGAATCCATTCCAGAATTGCCAAGTATGACATGCTGCCAGAGGTTATTTGTGTTAGTGTTGCAGAGGTTATCTCAGTCAAGCTTGATCTGGTTGTATGCCTCTGCATCTAGGGTTTCATTCTTGGTAAGTACACTGTAGTATGCAGGGAAGGGTGGAATCATATACACAAAATTGCTCCTAGTAGAGTTTTATTGGCATTTCAACAGATCCTGATAAAATCCTGATTCTGTTCTGGCTTGTCATTAACTTGCAACCTAAGACCTTTCAGACACATTTACTATTCCCTGTAACCTCTGTACTATGAAATCAATCAATGTCTGAAAGTAAGAAAGGGAGCACTGCATGGAGAATTCAATATTATGGCTTAACATGTTGAATTCTATCATTATTTATTTTTTCAATATATTGGGCTCTAATATTAAAATAATCTTCTAATATTTTATGCTGGAAAAAAAATAGTTATACAATTCAATATTCTGAAGAAACAAGGAGGCTCATAGAGCATAAGCATGCAAGGGGATGAAAAGGTAGACATCAATACTTTTAACTCACTTATTATATTTTCATTCAGTCATGTTCTGGTTTAAACAGATGTAGAGAGAAAATTAAGGTATTACTGCTGTCAGAATAGGAGCAATTTAAAGAAAAACAAAGAGAATACCAGGAAAATTATGACAAAAGTTTAGTTCTACAGTATTTTAGCTATATAGCATAATATCTGACTGTGTGAAAATCCAACAAACTTTGATGTAGATCAGTCAAATCATAACTTTTTAACATAATCACTCATATAGCTGCCTAGATATTGGCTAAATAAGTATGAAAACTGTCTAGAATAACTGCTAGATGATAGAATACATCAGTATGGTCATAAATGTCATCCAGAGGATTATGCATCTATAACAACTGAGCATAAAGCTCAGCAAATCATTCCTCCTTCCTTTGTTAATGAAGTTATAAAAGTTTTGTAAAAGGCTGAGTGATAAGTAACAGATCAATATTATTTCCATGAATTACTAAACTCTAGGCTGTGTGACTGTGATATTTAGGCTAAAACCAATGATTAGGGCATGTTCCTATGATATAATGCAGTGAAACTGCCACACAACATTTAACTTTATGCTATCTGACTTGTCCACTGCCTATGGCTTTTCCCACTATGAACTCCCAAGGTTTTTCTTCTGAATATGGGTCAAATGCATATTCTGGATCTGCTGTGGTGATCCCCAACTATTCTATAGTCAACAGTCATGCCTCTGCATAGTACCTCCATGTCAAATCTTAACGAATAATTTTTCATAACTTTGCTCTATGTTGAGTAAATGTGGAATTCTCATGAAATCGTTAGAGAGGAATGCTGCATAGGACTCCAGACTGGTTTTGAATTTTTATCCTCTATTATATGCGGCATAAAACAGTCCTAACAAGGTAACGTCATCAGTTTATTCCTCTTTCTCCCTCGTCGAACCATCCCTCTCCTCTTTTTCCCGACTCCTAAGCCCGCTACACGTCTTCATATGAACCATCAATGTTGACATAGTTATCAACAAACTCTGACAGTTCGGGCACTCTATATGGCTCAACTTGAGGTGTTTTTCCAGGACATGACTCGTCACATCCTCGAGCCTGAGATTCATATGATTCTTGTCATGCGATCGGCAGACAATTTGTTTACGACACAGGGGTGTGTGCTGTCCCTCCGGGTTATGCGGATCCAACCAGATAGCACACAATGTTTGGTGACAATTCATGAGGAAATGGAACGCTTCGTAGTGCGCGGGGAATTCATCCACCAACATAAATGCCGAGCAGTTCGTAACGGGGCATGGATGGTGTGTGTTAGGACGTGGAGGGATGCGCTCCATCCCGTAGAATGTTGTAGCGAAATCAAACGGGGTTCTATAGCGGGGAGAGACAATTTGTGCGACCGTTTTTGGATTGAGGGGTCGGTAACGGTGAGTTCCATCAGCACTGCAGTCGGGATACATCAGGCTGTGTCAAGGAATGAAGGTGCAAAAGAGCATACAATTTATGGGCCAAGGAAGGAGGTATTGGAACCGGTACATAACTGAGGGACGACTCAGAACGTTGGAGAGAAGAATGAATGGAACGACGTACTTGTCTTTGGCTTCTTCAGTATTCCATGATGACTTACTGGCCCGGAGTTGATATAGATGTCCGCGGTAACTGACTCCATGATAAGGCGAAAACTTAAATCAGTAATACAAAGAAAGGTCCTACCTCCCGGAGTGAGAAGTCATCCTCCATCGTGGAGCTTTTCCACTTTCCAGTCTAATATAATGAGAATGGATAGATAGAACAAGGTATATGACCCACTCTCTTAGCTTCTCTCTTTTTGCGGCTGGCGAGCTCCAATTCAGTGGCTGTGGTGCGTAATCATGCTCGCATGGCGGGCACATCAGAGTACGGTGCGGATTCCGAGCAAAAGCTGCCGACTCGTGGGCCGTAGGGCCCGGTGGAGGATACGAGACCATGAACTTCTGTGGCACATACTGAATCGGGTGCGGCTGTCCTCCATATTGAAGAGGAAAACATGAGGGTGGCGAGTCATTGGAGGAGGAGGGAGATATAGACGCCGGAGGTGTTGGATACAACGTGGAGGGCCCAGGCGTTAGATAACGCGTCGGTTGTGAGAAGTACCGGTGCTGTTCATTATTCGTATCCCAAAATGTTTTCGTGCCTTCGGTACTGTTTTCGTGTGAGTAGAAACCGGAATCGTTTCTGTGATCTGACATCTGAAACTCGCTGGACAATGAAGCGGCTTCGTCAATGAGACTGAGACTATCAGGGTATTATATCAGGCCCATAAAAAGAGGAACATGAACCAGAGTTCACCTTGTCTCCCTATGTCCCAATTCCAGGCCTTCTCCTTGTAAATTGGATTGCTCGCCATCAGTTGCTCCTACAGCGTCGTCGAGCTGGAAAATCTCTTCAAAACTGGGCATAAACGGACAATCGACTTAGTGCGACAATGATGAGGAATGCAACTCAGTACCTCCAGGGAGTATCCACGTCCTGCGGTTGGAGATTTGACGGTTTGAAGCTGGGAGACGCGTCAATCTAAACAAAAAAATAGATTGCCCAACACTGCTCACCTAAACAGCTGAGCGACATCTTGTCCGTCGCTGTCAGTGGCGTCTGTACTGCGAGTCGCGTCCATTCTGCACAAGCTCAGAAAATACTATGAAACAGGGAACAAAGCCACCCACAACAAGGATCCACCACGGTGATGCAGCGCATCATACTCAGCCGCCATCCTGCAACCAAGTAAGCATGGATAGACGCGCGGGTAAGGGGAATTGGTACTTACACAGGCAAGGGAACAAAGTACGACGCATCTATTGTAGGAGAGTCCAAGGTGAGGCGACGGAATTTTGAATAGGATTTTATACAAGCGCGTGACCGCCCGGTGACTGCTAGCCTTATTCGGGTTTCATTGGGGTGGCTTTTTCATGTTTGATATTCAGGTAGGATGGGAAGGATATCCTGACGTAAATGGATTGCGGTGTAGAGAAGCCTTGATTTCCCTCCATGCAACTGTATCACCCCAGATGGTTTTTCTAAAACAATTCCAGCTAGATTCAGAGACAATACTGCAGTGACAGTGGAAACAGTCAGCGAGACGGGTTTCACATCAGGATAAGGCCCACGAGAAGAGGAAAACTGCCTGTTTGTCCAGAGTACGATTTTCTCCTACAGCGGAAAATCAATGAAGCGTCGTTAGGTGACTTTATCTACTCACATCATCCGCGACGGTATCAGGAATGGAGGAATTATGGACTACAGAGGATGATCATAGAATTGCGGTCATTGTGTAGGATTTCATTTACCCTGAATAACTATCTAGTGGCTGTTTGAATGCCCTTACGAGCTTTTTTAGATCACCCAAGGCTGTTATGGCTGAAGTTAGACAGAGCAACAGCAACGATCCGAGACCAACACATACCTAAGAATGCCATTGATAGATCTCTGTTCCGTAAGTGGTTCAGACCTTCCTTATACTTTGCGCTGATGACATCGATGGCGTCGATGTTCCCCCACCCAATAACCTCTTGAAGTGGGTGGGACATGACCCGAAAACAGCTCACAAAGTCATGCCTATTCCAAATGCAGAATGCATTGAAAATTCCCTCTGCGATACGTTGTCGCCGTCAAGTAAAATCGTTCGCTTCGTCTCTCTGGCGAACCCAATTTCAATAGATCTATACAATCTACAACGAAGTCAGTTCCGTCATCATAGGTGGATTGTATGAGGTTACCTTGTGCGATCCCCAGTGCGTTAATTGACAATCGTTCGAGCGATATAAAGCGAGAAACACCCTGAACACGTCAGCGTTCCATCTCTGTAGCAAAATGGGACTTTGAGACGATGTGATTTGCACAACCGAGAGAGAGGAGATCCTGACATCCAAATGATTTTGATTGCTTGGTGCCTTTGCTACTTTGAACAATTCGTCTTGAGACTCCGTAGTGTGCTATCAGGCATTCGAAAGCTTTCCGGTCACAGGGGTGTTGGCTCAGAGAACGATGGTTTGAGGTTGTTGAGGAGGTTTGAATTCTGATCTTCGGTCTTATGAGCTAAAAGACAGCGGCATTAACTTTGTAGTGAGTTCTGCACCTATGGTTACCCATTTCATTTTCTGTAACGGCCATGAATATCTATCTACTGTTTAATAAACGCACCGAAAGAAATCGTCTGAGAAAGTTTTGAAAAAGCCTGAGATTGGGGACGTACAATGCTGAATCTGAGGTAGCCCTATGATATCTGAGTTCAATATTTATGGAATTTCAAGCACCTAGCGGCTTTCATTGGATGTAAGGGGAAAAATCCGTGTCGTTCGCGTTCAAGAATCAAGATGAAGGTTGAAAGAGAATGCTGATGCCGAGCGATCGGACCACCGCCTGTTGGACGGGTCCGAAATACATTATGGCCCTTTTTGACTTTGATCTTCATGTCATTAACGGTTACAGTTGACGGTCTTGCTAAGGTATCCGAAAATTCCTATTGGAAATCCTCGGTGTTGCGCAGGGTAGACTCCAGGCTGGTAAGGCCAGAAGGTATGAACTTCTTGTTCTACAGCTCCTACAGAGCTTGTATTTATACTCTCCAGGATTATATCTAGAATCTACTACAACTTTCTCTTTCTCTCGAGCTTACTCATCAGCTCTCGGCATGATGCCGGATTGCCCTTTCCAAAACTTTCCAGCAAAATCCCAACAGTTCCTACTGCTTATGGTTCAATTTTTTTTTTTGCCTCGATCTGGAATCACTTGTAGTTTAAAGATGTTCAAAATTACACGATTATGGGAGGAAGAAGGGTCAGTCAAGGCTACGTGCTGTCGTGCAGTCCACCTCATATTTACTGACATCAATTGTAGTGACGACGTCGCGTTTCCGAGGAGTTAGAATGACTTCTTACCATGTGGGCTGCTCCGGAGGTTCGCCAGATCGTGACCATTGAAGCAATCGAATATACGAGTAGGAGTCAAATCGCTAGAGTTGCTTATTTGTAGAGGGACTCCCTAGACGATCAAGCTGCTATAGGTTTTTTATCGGTTTCAGTTTGCCTCGTCGACATCAAAGTTGAAGATGGTAACTATATTTGTGTTAGGGCTTATTATGGTGAGCTATTGCCTGAACACTGATAGTATCTGGCGGAATATTCGCCTATCCTGGAAACATTTTCTCTTCAGTCGTTCGCGGAAAACAGAAGATGGAGAATTCAATCTCATTCCCATTTGAAAATTATCTCTGGCGGCATCCTAGGTTATCTCTCCATCGTACTCTAGCGCGTTGTATGCCATTAAATACATTGGTCCTTTCGCATCGAAGACATTCAGGGTCTCGACGATATGACATATCGACATCTCGCCAATTTTGCGGTGCTTGAGCAATTGGCCAAGAGCTTTCTAATCCTGCTGTCACGTAGACTGGCGATCCCTGGGAGCGCACTGACTATCAGATTCTAGACTCATATAATCAGCAATCTCTCATCGACCTCAAATACCTTTAAGATGAGACTTTTGGTCTTAGTGCTGGCCCTAATAGCTAGCTCAAATGCCCAATCCTACAAGCTAGACAGAATTTCGAGGATGGTTCCCCAGTTCATACCGGCGAGTTTATCGCATTATGTTCTACCGTAGCTGCAGCCGCCGACAATGCCAGTGATGCAGATGGACTATATTAATTCTGTGGTACTGCCGAGTCCACGGCCGTACGTGAAGATTTAAACGGCGGATTTTTCTGCAAGTGTACGATAGATGTGTACGCTGCTGTTGCTTCTTATTCCATGTGTCTTTCCGTATTTCCTGATGATTTACCTATAGATTTAGTTATACACTTGAATACTATGATTATCATACTATGCCTCATTTGGCTGATGCGCAGAAGATACTGTGGCCTACCAATCCTTATTGCTCCTGGTGCTCGGTGTCGAAGCAATCTGCATTAAATTTAACTAAAGTCGAATGGACATGTTTTCTACCGGAGCAGACATGAATATAAGTAACATCCATTTGACTACGCGAGCAAGTGTCCGTCAAATGTAGGAGGAAAACCCGTCTTCCTAGATACGAAAGATGAAGGTAAAGGTATAACGAAAGTGATATGAACGAGCGTCCGTGGCATGCGCCAAGTTGATTATAGTATGGACTGTCCGTAGTGAAAAAGTCCGAGTTCGTAGCAAGTAAACGTATCACTGTCATGAGAATCCATCCATCGTTACTTACCACACCATCATGCTGAAGAACAAAGCAGCGACAATACTCCACACGGGTATCCGCACCGACACGGCGCCGCCTTTGGTCTTCGTAGTGGTCGTTGAAGACGTCGACGTGCTGGAAGAGGCGGAGGAAGTGGAGGAGGAGTTGCTCGTAGAGATAACTCCGTTGTTGATGCCTCGAATGATGGTGGCGCCTTGGTAGCCGATGCTGGAGGAAGGTCAGAAGCGTAGAGCACGAGGGAAATAAGACTCACGCGAATGCGGGAGATCCTGTGTGGGAAGACATTGACATGGGGAAGATCGAGGCGTCGACAACGCGGACGTTGGCTGCAAGGCTTTCAGCATAAAATGAAACGGCGCAAAGGTGGTGGTACACTCACAAGTTCCGTATACCAAGCAGTATTTGTCGACGACACCACCTTGAGCCTCGGGCAACATGCTCATACTACCCAATGGGTGGTAATCCGTGTGCACATTGTCGTTCATCCAGGTGTTGAGATCATCATCGGAGCTGACGCTCGTTCCGGGAGACGATTCGGTACCGAGGTACTGCGCGATGGGGTTCGCAGCAGCGATGTTTCGGACCAGTTTGAATGCTGCGCGGAGAATATCCCTATCAGCCCAGTGGGAGAAGTATCCGGGATCGATGAGCGGCTGATCGAACGCGCTAGTGGAGTTGAGAGTGATCTGTCCGCGACTGAGGGGGTGTTGGAGGGCAGCTTGGATGGTGACAGTGCTGGCGGCGTTGAGAGAGAGGAGGATCTCGACTTGGGGGACGGAGGAAGGGTAGTAGGTTTCGGTGATGACGTCGAAGGTGCTTTTGTAGCCTGCGAGGATCGTCGAGTCCGTCGAGGGGATGTAGGCTTCCGAGGCGGTGTACTCATTCCGGACGGTCGAGATCCAGGTGGTCATGTTGTCGCCCATGAGGGTGGTGAGGTTGACGTAGGCGATGGCGTCCGAGATAAAGGAGAGCCATTCTGCAGTCTGGGAATAAGCGGAGTCGGAGTCTTCGATGTTCAACATGGTGTCTTGTTCCGTGGCCCAGTTGATGCCGTTTCCGACGTGGTCTTGGAGGTTTTGGCCGACTCCGGGGAGATCGAGGACGACGTCGATACCGGCTGCCGAGAGAACAGAGGAGGGGCCGACACCGGAGAGGAGCATGATGTGGGGGGAACCCACGGTACCACCGGACTTTGTGTAAATAGTCAGGAAAAAGTATATCTGAAAGAGAAAAGAAGGCGTACGAGAATAACTTCCTTGTCGACGGTAATCGTATGCTCGCTATCACTTTCGTCTTCCTGCCAGACGACACTCGTCGCCTTGATGTCGCTGCCGGATGTATCCCAGTTGATGCGAACAACGGTCGCGTTAGGGAGAATGTGCAAGTTGGACCTTGGCGGCAAAGGATCGATGTATGCAGACCGCGAGTAAGATCGGGTCCAGTTTGTCGGGTTAATAGCAGATGTGGATACGAATGCGCCCCAGTTTTCTCCACCGTGAGGGTCTTGACGGGATTCGATGCCAGCTGCGAGGCAAGATGTCGTCCAGTTTCCGTTGAATCCGAGTTGACTAGATTAGGATTAAAAAAATAGATAAAATACGTTTGGGAGGAGGGACATACACAGCTGGATATGAGGAGTGGAATGGTCCGCTGGTACCGTGGACGCTGGCATCATATGTGATGTCGCCAATACTCTCAGCCTCGGACGTAGGCGCGGTAAATGTCTCGATTGTTTTCATGACCTAGCGAAAATAAATAGAAGAACATGGGTGAAAGGAAAATGACGCACATTGTAAAAGTTATCCCAATTCCAGTAGTCCTCGTCACCGATCAACGATGCCCAAGCATCGATCTCAATCTGCGGTGGGCGCGTAAAGTACATGCCGTTGATGGCACCAGAACCACCCAAAATCTTGCCGCGGGACCATGTGAGCGTACGATTAGCGAGGTTGGATTGCGAGGTCGTCTTGAAGGACCAGTCGTAAGAGGTACTGCCAAGACCGTCGTAGTAGGTGTCACCCGGTGTATCTATGGATCAATATTTCATTAACGGGTCGGCAAAACGGAGTGCGCCACGACGGAATGTAATCGTGAATTTAAATGGAATGGAATAGTGCTTACCGCGGCGGGTAGCTACTGCGTCACCACTCGCACCAGCCTCGAGAACGAGAACAGTAGCATTGGAATCTTCAGAAAGAATTGAAGCGACGACGAGACCTGCAGAGCCGCCCCCCGCAATGATGTAGTCGTACGAGCCAGAAAGAGAAGAAGAATCGATTATAGCTCGCTTAGAGGGTGTGCTGCGGTGGTGCTGCCGATGGTAGATGTCATGAGCGAGTGAGGTAAAAGGAGCGACGAGGGCGAGCGCCAGCAGAGTGGCGCGATGCATTTTCGAAGTCGAAAAAGAAAAAAAAGATGAGAAGGCGGGACTTTGCTTGGCAAGAGCTTTTTGAAGAGTGATAACCGCCAAGTATCACGGAAAATTAGTGGGAAGAGGGGAGTGTGTACAGGTTCGTGGCAGAGGAGAAAAAAAGGAGGAGCGAGAGCGTGGCGGAGGCCGGTCTGGAATGATTTGAAGCAGGGTAAGCTATAACGCCGACGGCACGGATCCGTAGCACTCGCGCAGTCTGCCTCCAACTGATGCTGCTACTGCAGCCTTTGCCGTTAATAGTTGAAACGATAAAGGAGGGACGTTTCGTGGCTTAAGAGTTCACTACTCGGACCATAGGTGGGTGTTGTACATACCGCCGGTAAAGAAATTTCTAACGGAAGGATATTTTCGGTGGTTTATTTTTAGAAGGAGGGAAAACGGAATGTATTACGTTTGTTTGTTTTGTCACAAATGATCGTTGCCACCAACAGGAGCTTCGTGTGGCCTTTGATGAGCTGTTGAAGGGCGATAGAAACCATCTGTTGCTTTTTTATTACTTGGAGACGCCTGATAAAATGAACATTTATGACGGGTACGGACGTCCCTTCGTCGAATATGGCAAGCTATTAAAAGATGATGGCTACGCCGTTCTGGAGCCTTGGGTGGTTATTTTTGTTAGCAGTTCCCGCTAACCCATCTGAAATCCAGATCAATGCTGTGGTGCACGAGAGCACCAGCCTTTCGCAGTTCCGAGTGTAGCCTTTTATGGGGTAAGAGCTACATCAGTTTCTGATGATTGGTTGTTGCAACCACCCATTTAGTGCGTGTTTCAAGATACACGTACAACTAACAGCAGCTCTGGGCGCTATTAGCAAAGGGGAAATAGGAGCTCATGGCAGCAGTCCGGAATCGGAAAGTGAGCTATGTATTCGATTTTTGTACCCTCCTATTTGGCAGTGATCATGAGTGGTCTTTAATGGCTTTCCCTGCGAAATTATTTTCTAAGCCTGGTGTGCGCCTGATTCGCTTGGGCCTTGTGGTCTAAGACCGACTGGAATAAATAGTTAAATTTGCAGTTTATTGATGTCTTTTCTCCGATTCAACGAGAATTCGTAGAGAGAATTTCCCCATAGTTAGAGTTTGCTTACCTAAATATTTTTCTAGTTGCGACAACTGGATGAGAGACGGGGACCGAGGGCCATCGTGATCAAATCGCGGCGGAAGAGTGCCACTGATGATAGAATCGTCGTCTGATCCTGGTTGATCAGCGCGTGAGTATGATCCATTCAGTTCGCATTCTAATTTTTATTCACCTTCCACCACAAAGTCGCGTCTAAGATTTCCCATCGACGTGTTTGAATAAAAGGGCGGGACGCGTCGGTCAATTCACGTGATCTGACGCGGTGGCGAAACAGGGCCAACGCGGGGAAATCGAGTTTTTCATCTTGCTTTCCTTCCACCACCATCTTTGCAATTCCTCATCGTTTGCTACGATGATCACAGCGTATTTCTTCCTGATACGGTGCCTCTAGATGCTTGTCGACCCGGCAGCGCTGCTTTGTTTGTCATTAGCGCCGACCTTCAAGGTACCATCATTATGGCTGTCCCTGTTCCTATTCACTCAGATACTGGACATAGAGCCAGATGTCACTTCGTTAGGATTCCGTGGTAGAGAATAATAAGAAAGGTAAGTAACCATCGACGTATGCACAGTGCGCATATGCTAATATCTGGTTCTCATATCGTCAATAGATATTTCAGCGCCATTTTCGAAGTATGAATCTTCAAATATTCTGCATATATGAGCTGTTTCTCCGTGTAACCGGGAGCCGAAAACATGCTACGAGGTGCAATCAGTAGAAGCGAAACTTAGGTGCAATTCTTTGCGTTGCTACTTTGGGTATATGCTGACTTCTATGACCGTAAAGTGGGTGAAAGTTCCCGATGATGTCCTCTCTCCGGGTGGGGTCCCCATCATACATGTCAATGCAATACCAAAATGATCCTGTCTTTCCTCCTTGTCCAGTATCTGGGCTTTCCTTGCCTCGTGGAGGGTCATCTCGTTACAGAAGAACCTATGCGCGCGAACGTTGGAGAAACCCTTTTTCTCCTGCAGGAAGAAGGGTCTTCCATTACCCGGCCTTAGGAATCTCCTCCGTCCCGCAGTAATGTCGACACAGTATTTCTCACGCGGCTCCTCCCATTACCAGCATGATTAAGCCGTGTTCCTGTGACTCGCCTGACACCATCATTTCCGGTACTTGCACTTTTCAGTCTTAACTTCTTTCCTCTCTTCGGCATAGTCCTTCTTATGACATCAGTGCTAAACTGTCCCACCTTTCCTCGTTCGCGAAATCATCCGATTTCGTGATACCTACCACCGGCGACGGTTCTGAGCTCCGGTTTTATGTACACGGGATCTCAAGGCAGTCGGCAGTCTTTCAGCAACGAAGATTGCAATTCGAACGGTGTTCAAAGTCATAGCAAAATCCGATGGCAGTGGACTACGTCGGCAAGAGTCCCATTTCCACTGGCATTCCATGTGGTAGCGAGCGTTCTGGATTCCTTGGTTTCATGCGAAAGCACCTTATGACCGTTTCCTCCCTCGAAGAATGGATTGCAGTGCGAGGGATTGGCTGTGTTCTCCGCTTTTGCGTTTCCCTCATTCTCGACCTTGTTCAAGCACTCCCCAGTAGCGCACGATGCGTTTGATCATTACCTTTGCATCCCGGTAAATAGTCATCACCTCGTCCCTAACGGCGTCGAATCAGCTCACTGTCATATTCCATAATCAAAATCTTAACGAGGTTACTGGCTGTGGGTCTTTATTTATTCAAAGCGCACTTTTAACTCACTAACATACAGTCAATCTTTATTCCCGGTTGGGATTTTCTTCCTTACCTCAATGACCCCGGTCTTCCGAGGCGTTCTCGTGTTGTACTGGAAAAGGTATTTCGGTGTCCTTGAGATTAATGACCGAGCTGTGGCTGACAGCCTCCGAATAGGTCGGTATGATTGTTCAACGTCCAACCCTGTCAGTTTACCTTTACTTTCCTCCGCTAACCATGACCGTTGTAGACCTGGGGCTCTCGCCGACATCGCTTTCACATATCCGCTTGCCGGAATAGGTAGGTTATCCCATGATTACGACAGCCTCAATATGGTTGCATGACGGACAGAAGCCTGCCCTTTTTGTTCTTAATTGGTACGACTCGGAGTCATTGGAACCATTATAGCAGTTCGTGGAGCACTCGAACGGCCATCCTAGAGAGTCTAGGGTTAAGATTCCCGCTAATTCCTGTGGAAAGAGCGGTCGCCGCAGGGAACGACGCTCTTTATGAAGGCAGACGGCATTGTGTCTTCCTTCTGCTTTGTACGACTCTTCGTTTCCATATACCTATGTAGAACTATACCGCACCGCGAACGATTTTCCCCTCCGCAACCGCCATCTGGGCCCCGGGGGCCACATGCCATTTTTGGCTCCGATGCTGCTTCGCTGTCATCAAGTCCGACATAAGCCGACCCACATCAACCCTCATCAACCACCACCCACGATCGCCGTCACTGGCAAACTCTGCACTACACGCCAACATATCAACACTCTCAACGACGTCGTTGCAAAATACGGCCAACAACGTCCCTGGAAAAGTCGTACAAACAAGACCCGCAGGAAATTCCAATGGCGAGTTCCAGTAAAACCGCCAACAAAACGGAACCAGAATGGGGGCGAGGTACGTTTTCTGTCACCTTTTTGGTAGCAAACTTGCTGAAAGCATTTTTTCCTTTCTCCTTTTTGCCATGTCTAGTGCTCATCTGTGGTGGCACCGCCTGGACCAAACTCGGACGGAAAGGCCCCGCGTCACCGGACGACGGCGAAGATCTCCTCGAGCCCCACATTCTCCGCTCGCTCTCGACGATTCGCGCTGCCTCCATTCACACTTCGTGCTCGGCGGTGCATTTCGTCGTTATAGACGTGGACGGCGTGGCTTGGTTATTCGGTCGTAACGGGAGTTCATGTCTGGGCCTGGGGGGTACCGTGGATGCCGTGAGCGAGGAGGAGCCACTGAGGATCGCGGTGGAGGACTTGGGAGGTGAGGGCCACTGGGTACATGCTGCGTGTGGGAGGAATCATACATTGCTCGTCGCCAGCGATGGTGGGGTCTGGACGGCGGGTACGAATGTCTTTGGGCAGGTGCGTTTTTTTCCCTTAGCTGATCTATGTGTGGCGCTGACGATTAGGCCTCTGCTCTCTTTTCCCTTCTCTTTGCTTCCGCACTTCCCTCTTCCTTTCCAAACCTGATATACTGCAGTGTGGCCATTCTCCGAGTCCCGAGATACCGACCTTCAAGCGCATACCGTTCTTTGGTGCCGACGAAGGCCAAGAAAAAGCTGGCAAGGCATCGGCGGGGGTGACGTTCTCATGTGTCTTAACTGAGAGCGGGAAGGGTACGCTTAACTGACATCTCCTTTAGTGATCCAAGCTGAACCTAGGGAACAGTATATGCCTTTGGTTCCGGGGAGAAAGGCCAGCTCGGGAACGGGACGACCGGCGAGCGCATTACGACGGGAAACAAGACGGCATTTGATATCGTTTACGAACCCGTCATGGTGAAGGATTTGGGGCCTGAGAAGATTACGCAGCTGTCGTCAGGTCAGCAGCATTCGATTGCGCTGGATGAGAAGGGGTACGTGATCCACATCTTTCCCGCCTTCGAATCCTTCCGTCCTTCGCTGCGTCGACTGAGTTCTACAACATACTCCCCGCGTGTATTATCGCACCTTAGCAACGGCCGATCCTTTTTTCCCCTTGTTCTAGACCTTCCAAGCTCCTTCGCTCACTACTCTCCACAGTACCGTTCATGTCTGGGGTTACAACGGATACTGCCGTCTCGGTCTAGGCAATCAAGTTGATGCACTCCGGCCCAAACAAGTACCTCAATTCGCGGGGGCGAACGCAGGCATACTGGTCGCTGCTGGACCGAGTAATTCGGTCGTTGTAGATAAGGGCGGGATGTACTGGATGACGGGAAAGGTTTGTACATATTTTGTTGACCATGCCGTGACGCTGACTATCAGCTGTAGTGGAAAAACTCAGGCGATGGATCATCAGGTTCCCCCTACAGCAGCTTCCGGTACATGCCTGATATTATGGGCTGCAAAATTACTGCCGCAGCGTCTGGAGGAGTAACACATTGGGCATTGACACCAGATGATGAGGGTGAAGGGACTATGACTATATCATGGGGGCAGAACGCCGCGAATGGTACGATTCTTCCTTCCGTTCCCGAGTCACGTCGACACTAATTCCTGTATAGGTGAACTCGGACTGGGACCATCTGAGCCTAAATCGGCTACAAAGCCTATCAAGCACCAATTGTTGGCAGGCCTGGACGTGCTGTCCATCGCGCCAGGACAAAATACGACACTCTTCCTCGTTCGACCGTCTGACAAGATGAGCGAGTTGCCGCGACACCCTGCTGAGGTAGAAGTCAGCGACGCCTGTGTCATATGCCGGAGGGAGGACGACGAGGAAGCTCTGGAGTGTGATAAGGTACGTCCGCGCTCTATTTCGTCTTTCTCCCAGTATTGATATTAGTGGTTTAGTGTGACAACCCATACCATCTGTCGTGCTTAACCCCGCCTCTCACGGCCGTACCAGAGGGTGAATGGTTTTGTCCACGATGTATCAGTGCACTTGTTGGCCGACGACTGAAGGCTGATGGTGAGTCAGGTAAAAGAAAGGCCCTGCCGAGTAGTGGTGGGAGGAGTAGTGCGCAGAAGAAAAAGAAGCAGTAGGTGTTTTCAGGGTGGGGCATGGACTTGTGTTATTGTGTATGTATCACCCTAAAATGCTCATCATCGCTGTCGATGTTACTGTTATACATACATTCCTTTTCTCGAGAATGTATTGCCTTTTCGCAGATGCGATACATTGCTGTTCAATTCTATACCTTGTAGATAGAGAATGGTGTCACCTAGGGATGGTTCTTTGTTGCGGATTTCTCCATGAAATGTATAACAGTTTACCGGGAAATTTCCTACAGTTTTTGATATATTTCAAGATCAACTACAACAGGTAGAGTGGACAAGAAGGATTTGAATTGATGCTGAGTTCGTGAGAACGGCAATGAAACCAGCGGTGATACGGGTGAATTAACTTTCCAGCTCGCATGAAGATATTTTCTCTTTGTAGAAATCGGTGTCGTGTGCGGAGAAACAAAGGGTACCAGCCTGCAGACGGGAAATTCACAAGACGTCAAGGTGAAAGAAATGATCCACCATTTCCAACCAGCCACTGTTACCCTAAATCAGCGCATGCATCTCCTGAAAGGTTTCAATTTATTCAGCGGTTATGGCATGAAGACTAACTGTTAGTTCCTTGCAGCAGTGCTAGAGGGGTCAATGCCAATTATGCAGTTTGCAACTACCCGAATGCATTCCAATGCTAGGTCATGAGGTTAACATGTAGGCAGTTTCCTGGTATGAAACTCCCGATAGAAAAGAACATGTACCGATACCCATTTCCCAAGTCTTGGTGGTGAGTCTGCAAGTATTCGGTTGGAATCAAACTTATAGGTAGGCGCTACACGACTTGCTCAGAAGAACATCGGAAGTAACCCCAAGTTAGGGTTATAACTGATGGTGGTACACAGAACAGGTATGTAGAGCAGTGGAGGGACCACAAAATGCAACAGGTGCCTCCCTCAGTGCATGAACCATGCACAGGCCAGTACCATGAATGCACAGTGGTCCCTCTTGTGCATGGTCTGTGTGCTGTGGTAGGGGGTGTGTCTGTTTCACAGTACATCAAGTCTATGTCCATTCACATGTGACATGAGCATAGGGAGCACATTTGTTTTGCAGTACATGACCAATTCTTGAAATATGGCCATTCTTGTGTGTTAGATTCTACATAGGGAGCACATACAGCCCACAGTACATGACTGATTCTCTAATTATGGCCATTCTTGTGTTTTAGAATCTTTGTAGGGAGCATGTGCAGTCTGCAGTACATGACCAAATCTCTAATTATGGCTATTCTTTTCATTTAGATTCTTGTAGGAAGCATATCCAGTCTGCAGTACATTGCCAATTTTCTTCATGGGCTGCTTTTGGTCTTTTGGAGTGAAAAGAGCAGTATAACAATCTGTTCAATTTTGATACCAGGTCTTTTGTCAATATACTTTGGAATGGTCAGAATATGTGACTGATTGTTTGGTTGACATTGTATTCTAACATCTTTTTTTACTCCCCTTCTCCTGTTGTCAATTTCAATGCTGAGTGGGCCACATAATGGGCTGCCTCAGTAGCATCCCTCTGTTCCCATTCATAGTGATCAGTTCCCTTTCATCCATTATTTGCCTCCTGATGTCTGACTCTGCTTCATCTTCCAATGATTCCTCTTCTTCTCTGTGCTCTCAGAGAATGTGATCTTCTCTTTCCTGCATATCCATCTCCTTTTGCTTCTTCCTTTCTTCCCTCTCAATTATCACCATTATTTCCTCCTCATCCTCCCTGTCTCCCCATTCCTCAACATTCTGCAAAGTTGGTATGTGGCCACTTGTAATGTGAAATCTCCAGTTCTCAACCCATGTATTCCAGATTAGGTGGATCACTGAACATGGTAGATCCTGTTTTCAAACTCATTCCAGTTTAATCAGTTCCCCTCCTGACTTTTCATAAGCACACACCTGTACACCATCAGATCAAACACACCACAGATATTGATCAAATGCCCTCTTCAGTGCCCTTCACATATCTTCCACTTGTCATAAAGAAGCCATATCATGCATAAAATCTTTCCACATCTTTATCAATTTCATTTTTCCCCAATTACTTCATGCAGACCATTGTTTCCTCATGTTTAATTCATTCAGAGTATGGAATATGTTGTCAAACAGTGAATCCCACTGGCTCTCTGTTCCTTCATGCATTCATGCATGTGTGAACACTCCTCCAAGATCATTTTCTTTTATTATATGGATGTTGGCCATATGGCATTCATTCTGTGTCAGAGGAGAATGCTTCTATCTACATTTCATCCATCCAATCTTCTGCAGCATGTTAGACACAGATTGCTGTAGTACTTCATTCAGAAACCTCTCAGCATGCTCTTGATATTGTTCATCATATATCTGATCCTCTAGTAGTGGATTGGACCTGTAGTCATATGATTTTTTCAGCATTTCTATCTGTCAAGCTAGCCTTTCCATCTTCAGCATTGGCTCCTCAGGTTGACCCTTGGCTTTCATCATACACCCTATGACCTGGCCTATTGGTGTTAGGCTCAAGCAACACATGATGGACTGACACATGATAAACTAACATGGCTTTGTGTTCGAGCCTTCCGTTAGAGTTCTCACTAGGACAGTCCTGTGTGTTTCAAGGCATAGAGATAGCTTGAGAGTAGAATGAGTGTGTATAAACTTTAGCTCAAAGCTGGATTGTAAGCCAGCAGGGCGAGCTCCTTAAATACCATACATGGTGTTCTAATAATACTGCTACCTAATTGTGTGTTGTTGAGGTGGTTGTGCTCTTTGTCCTGGAATGTCGTGACCATTCATAAAAGTGATTGTGCGTTGTTGGGGCAAGTGTCCTTTGTGATGACTAAGCCATTCCCACCTTCTTGATGGTTCATCCTTTTTGAGTTCTGACTAAGTCTAAAATAGGGAAAAAAGGAGAAAAAGGAAAGAAATCATAACATTACCCCCTCCTTAAGACCATCGTCCCAATGGCTTTAATTTAGGGATAGTTCATAGTCTCTGATGGTGGCGTCAGCGTTCATATACTTTTCATTGATCCACTGGTTGGATTCAGATCCATAGCCCTTCCAGCTGATGAGGTAGTCGACCGTAGTTGTCATTCCACCATCTTTTGCTTTCACCTTTTGCAATTTGTGGTTGAGGACTTCATCAATTTCATAGTGTTCATCATCAATTAAGTCCAGCAGGGGGGGTGGTGGCTTTTTCTGATTTGGAAAAGCTGGTGCAACATATGGGGTTAACAGTGTCTCGTTGAAGACATCATGTATCTTCCATGTTCCAGGCAGTTGTAATTTGTAGGCACTATTTCTGATTTTGGCAAGAATCGGGAATGGACCAGTTCGTTTGTCAGCCAGTTTATGCTTTGGTCGAGGAAGATGTAGGTTGGTGGTGTTGAGCCAAACCTTGTCTTTTATAGAATATGAGTGTGCGAGGCATTGGTGTTTATCGTACTGAGCCTTCATCATGGCTGCTGCCTTCTCGAGGGCTAACTTTGTTTCACTGTGGACCTTTTCCATAGTGGAGGCAAAATCGGTAGAGGCTGGTGTGGTAGTATGGAGTCATTCTGTGTGTGCGACGTTTGGGTGTTGGCCATGGTTTACAAAGAATGGCATCTTCCCAGTGGCGGAGTGTACTTGGTTATTATGTTGGAATGCTGCTAATGCTATCCATTCAACCCAATCATCTTGTCAGTAGTTGATGAACAGTCAAAGATACTTTTCAACTTCTTGATTGGCACATTCGGTTTGTCCATCTGTCTGAGAGTGATATGCCATTGAAGTGTTCTGATGGATATGAAGCAGACAGTAGAGATCGTCGAGGAACTTTGAGATGAATTGGGGCCCACGGTCTGAAATAATGACTTGGGGCATTCCATGTTTGGCGTAGACCTCATCATGCAGGATTTTAGCCCATCCTTCAGAGGTAAGCTCGGTTGAGCATGCAACCAGAATGATTGCTTTTGAGAAATGATCAACTATGATGAGTATTGTGTCATAGCCATGACAGTCCAGGAGGCTGGTGATCATGTCTACCATGATGTGGGTCCATGGTGTGGTTGGTACCTCGTTTGGGTGAAGTGGAGTGGATCGGGGTTGGGTGGATGCCTTCCTCCTTTGGCACACTTCGCAGGCCTTGATATAATTGGTGACATCTACTCTCAGCTTTGGCCACCAATATTCCTGTAAGATTAGTTCTTTAGTTTTGGCTATGCCTGGGTGCCCAGTGATGATGTGGTCATGGTACATTGTGATGATCTCCCCTCTTAGGGATGGGTCTCAAGGGATGTAGATTTGCCCATTGTATTGGATCAAGCCATCTTTCTTCATTACTCCTTGCTCGTGATTGAGCGATGGGGCTATCCATTGATCCCACTTCCAGCTGTCCCTGGTGGTGCTTTTGATTTGTTTATGGATCTCCTCCTCTGTTGGCATGATCATGGCTCTGAAGTGTTCAGGTCGTAATAGGGTTACCCCTTGATTATCCATTCCCTCCTGATCATGATCAGCACATCGGCTGAGTAAGTCAGTCTTTTTATTGGCAGTCCCTGCCTTATGGTGCAAGGTATATTGGTACTGACTGAGCTCAGTAACCCACCGGGCTTGTTGATGATTTAATTTCTGGGGTTGGCAGAAGTATCGGAGGTTTTGATGATCCATTCAGATCTCGAAAGTTTCGACTGCTCTGATTAGATAATGCCTCCACTCTTCAAGAGTGAGCATGATGGTGAGTAATTCTTTGTCATAGATTTCATAATTCCTTTCAGTGACAGTGAGTGCCTTTGAAAGGAATGTGATGGGTCACCATTTTCCTTCTTGTTCCTGAGACAGTACTGCTCCTATTGCCCCTTCACTAGAGTCTGCCTCGATGCAGAATTTCTCTTCCTGTGATGGGATGGCAAGGATGACATCAGCTGCCAGCCACCTTTTTAGGTCTGTGAAGGTGGCCTGTTGGGAGTGTCCCCAGGTCCAGGAGGCATTGCCTGTGAGTTGGGTCATAGGTCATACAACCTTGCTATAGTCCCAGATGAATCGC